ACTTGAAGAATTCACTTCCAGTAAGGCGGTTAATGGGTTTGAGACTAATTTAATAATAAAACTAGCATCCACAGCTATCTTGCTTTAGTTACTGTAGTTTACTCCACCTTTAAAAGAAAAAAAGATTTAAAAAATTACATATAGGATGTTTATAAAAATGTTTAATTTTTAAGACAGATATTAACCAGAAATCTAAGCCACTGGAAAAAGGAATAAAAAAATAACATCAAGTATTACACTTCCTCAGAGTTCTAGTTTACTTAATGATTTCCATCCTGTGTGTCTTGTCCCCCTCACCCCTGTGATGCGAAATACTCAGCCAAATAAGAAAAACTAAGTAAAATACTTCAAGTAAAACTGAAAATAGAAAAAATCAATTCCTGTTCATCCCTTTCACTGTAAGTAAATTCAGGTATTATGAGTAATACCAGCAAAAACAACCTCAAGAAGAATGTTTCTAAAAGACGGCATCTATAGGACTATAGAGTATTAGCCCCTGGGAGAAAATGACAAATTCACAGCAGGTAGACCCTGCTGCCATAGGGACCAGACTGACGGTCTCATCTGACAGTCACGGCTGACAAGACTTTTCAGATATGAAGTCCCACAGCAGCCATACTATACGCTTCTTTCATAAGTCATCCAGCTCCTTGCCCCCTCAGTGTATCCAGTTTATGATCACAGAGAGGTTTGCAAAGACCAAAGCATTTTAACATGAAAGACTGCAATTTAACGGTTTTTTTTCATAAAGTTTTGGAAAAAAAAATAATCTGAAAATCTTCGCTTCTCCCTCATCACTACTGGCAGGAAGAGCTACGCCACATTGCTGTTAAGGGACAGCCTTAACGTTCAATGCTCTGTACAGAGCCTGTTATCTCTGACTCATAAAATGAGACAGACTATTGCCTGGTTCTGGGTTGGTTTTTTTTTTTTAGTTGGTTGGTTGCTTTTTTTCCACAGAATAAATCTAAACCGATGTCAAATCAGCTCATCTTTGCCGAGCTTTTAAGAATGGAGCCAGTTGCCCCACGTATGTTCTCTGTATGCCACATACCTTCCTTTACTCACAGTAAAACTCACTACTATTATTCTCATACTCCGATTAAGCTATGCACCGTGCGCTAAGACTGCACTGAAGGAAGCCCCATTTTCTCTACCACACACTCAGCGAGATCGCAGGCAAGTTCCTAAAAAAAAAACAAAACAAAAACAAAAACCCACGCGTAGCGTAGGGCTTCCGTGTCCCTTGGGACGGAGCGCGGCAGCACGCAGAGCCTGCTCA